CCCAGGCATGTGCCCTGACTGGGAATTGAACTGATGACCCTTTGCTTTGCAGGCCCGAGCTCAATCCACTGAGCTACACCAGCTAGGGCTTCTCATACAGCCTTGATAAGAGCATCATATTTTAAGGAGATGGTTTAAATTTTTGAGTTTATATTTAAAATCTAAAGATGTAAGTTTTCATTACTTTGAATTCATTAAAGAAAAACTAAAGTTTTCTAAGATGATTACAATGATGATAAATGTCATGAAAACAGTTGAGTTGAGAATTCTTTTTTAAAAAATTTTTATTTAGTGAATTTTAGAGAGAGGAAGGTGGAGAGAGAGACCAACTTGTTCCACTCATCTATGCATTCACTGGTTGATTGAACCCACAACCTCAGTATATCAGGATGATACTCTGACCAAAGGAGCAATCTGGCCAGGGCTCTTTAGTAGTCTCTTTTAATCTTATAAATGAACCCAAATCAGAATAGTAACTCCGGTTTAATGCATTTCTCATTTATTAATAAATTCAATGTACAAGAATTGAAGGGAAAACTAGTAGGTAAATTATTATGGAAGTATGGATATATGGAAAGTATATGTCAGTTGTCTCAAGATCTGGGTACAAGATTTGATCCTGGCTTTTAAACTACTGACCTTAGCTTAGTCACTTTATAGCTCTAAACTCCACTTTCCTCCTGTAATAACTAAAAATCATTTCTGTATCTACAGCTGCATCATAGTAATATGTGAGTCTCAAATTAAGGTAATGTGCTTGTTAAGTACCCTGTATACTGTAAAATGCCAGAGATAGTTAATATTTGTATATACCCCTAATTAATAATAAGTTCTCTGAAGAATCATTCCATAGATACTCTAAAAATGCTCTTGAATTTTTCTTAGGTCTTAGGAAGACTTAAGGGCAGTTCTTAGGGCAAATTACTCTCTGTCCATCATCTTTCCCCCCTCTCTTACACAATGTGTAGTACTTTCTTCTACTGCAGGAGTCAGCAAAGTTTTTCTGCAAAGTGCCAGATAGTAAATATTTCAGACTTTGTGGACAATGTAGGGTTTTGCCACATATCCCACCGCTTTTCTTTTACAAACCTTTAATAATGTGAAAAACATTCTTAGTTGGAGGGGCTGTATAAAAGAAGCCTGACTGATGTTGGCCTGCAGGCCTGTTATGGACTCCTTCTTCTGGGTTCAAGCAGGTTTTAGTTTTAGACACTAGTTATGATCATTTGCACAAAAAAGTGTTAATGGTTAGTTAACCAATCAAATATTATGTGTTACTTTTTATTCTAACAGCAAAACAAGATTTTCAAGCGAAACACTGTGAGTTGGTTTGGTTTTTTGATTATGTTCAGCATCTGAATAAAATTGGTCTCTTTAGGTAGGGACAAAGATACTTTTTTGAATAAGTGGCTGGTTGTGGTACAATTCACATTAATGTATTACAGGACAAATAATTACAAAGGGCAGGATACAGGTGATGATCGCTGACTCCAAGACATTGCTGAGCAGAAAGAAATTTTTCTAAATGAACCATGTCATTTTTAGCAAGATGTGGACTCAACAAAACTTTTCATTTGTCTTTACTTTCATTGTTTAAAACCAAGTTGCAATAATGCCAAGGATTTCAAAAATTATCTAAACACACTGTGCTACTGAGGGCATGGGGAAATGGGAACTCTCATACATTGGTGGTGTTGTAAATTGATACTTCCCCTTTCAAGGGTGATTTGGCACTATCTGTTTACATTAAAAATATACCTATCCTTTAACCCAGTTCTTCTGCTTCTGGGAATTTACCCAATAAGTACAACCCATGCAGGCAAATATCCAGTCATTGCTGCATTGTTCATAAAGGCAAAATATTGGAAATAACCTAAATGCCCATCAATGGAGAAATATGTAAATTTGGAATAATATATTAAAAAATTAATAATGGCATGGAAAGTGTTACATAGGTCTTTCATTTTATTATACTCTTCATATATATTTTCAAATTAGTAAAGATGATAAACTCTTTGTACTCTTAAAAAACATAATAAAGATATTGAATTCAGTCCCCTTTATTCTCCTTTTAAATTAAATGAAGACTAGAATCAGAATATACTTATTGCTGGGACATTGGCTTAGGCCAGTGGTTTCTGGGAGAAAACTACCATTTCCCATGTAGATATGTAATAGCCTAGTACATGCACATACACACATACTCTTTTTAGCTTTTAAAATGTATTTTTAAAATTTTTATTGTTTACGTTATTATAGTTATTCCTGCGTTTTCTCTTTCTCCACCCCCATCCAACTCCACTCTCTCCCATCCCCAAGTCCACCCCCATATTGTTCTCTTGTGACCATGGATTGCACATAAATGTTCTTTGGTTAATCCCTTCACCATCTTTCATCCTGTCCCCAACCCCTCTTTCTGGCAGCTTTTAGTCTGTTTTATGTATTTAACCTTCTGTTACTATTTTGTTCATTAATTTATTGTGTTCATTAGATTCCACATGTAAGTGAGATCATGTAGTATTTTTCTTTCACTGACTGCCTTAATTCACTTAGCATAATTTCCTACAGGTTATTTTCTTAAGTATTTGGAAGTAAGTTGCAGATACCATGACCTTTCACCTCTACATAGTTCAGTATGCATCTCAACTCCATTACCACTAGTACACCTAGGAAAGTTAATAATAATTTCATAATATCTAATATTGAGTGCATATTCAAATTTCCATGTTGTTCTTCCAAATATCTTTTTTTTTCTAACCAGGATCCAATTGAGTTTCATGTATTTCATTTGGTTATCTCTTCAGTTTCTTTAAATCTAGAGTCACTTTTCTTATAGAAGATTCCACATTTTAAATTATTAGTATGTATACGATTTAATTAATATCCCATAACATGGACTTAATTTTTATTTTTTAATTTATTTATTTTTAGAGAGAGGGAAGGGAAGGAAGAAAGAGGAGAGAAACATCCATGTGTTACAGAAACATAAATTGGCTGCCTCTCGCACACCCTCAAATTGGGATCTGGCCTGCAACCCAGGCATGTGCCCCAGCTGGGAATCGAACCTGCGATCCCTTGATTCACAGGCTGGCAGTCAATCCACTGAGCCACACCAGCCAGGGCTGGATGTAATTTTTAAAATTCTACTATGTACATTTTTCATTGTGATAAAATATAAGTACATTCACATTGTTGTGCAACCATCACCATCATCCATCTCCAGGACTTTTTCATCTTCCGAAACAGAAATTCTGTACCCATTAATGGCTTCCCACTCTTCCCTACCCCTATCTCCTGTCAATTACCATTCTACTTTCTATCTGAATTTGACCTCTCTAGGTACCTTATATAAGTGGAATCATACAGTATATGTCTTTTAAATTTTTAAATTGATTTTATAGAGGGGGGAGGGGAGAGGGAAGGAAGAGAGAGAGAGAGAGAGAGAGAGAGAGAGAGAATATGAATATGAATATGAATTGTTGTTCCACCCATTCATGCATTCATTGGTTGACTCTTGTATGTGCCCTGACTGGGAATGAAATCTGCAACCTCGGCACCTGGGTATGATGCTCTAACCAACTGAGCTCCCTGGCCAGGGCCAGTATATGTCTTTTCGTGACTGGTTTATTTCACTTACCATAATGTCTTCCAGGTTCATCCATATCACAGCATGTGTCAGAATTTCCTTTTTAAGGCTGAATATATTTCATTGCATGTACACACCATATGTTGTTTATCTGTTCATTCTCGATGGACAGTTGGGTTGTTTCCACCTTTTGATTGACTATGAACACTTGAAAACATAGCTAAAGGTAGGGAAAATACTACATCAGTAACTCTCATCCAATTCAACAATTATCAAGATTTTTGCCACAAATTTACCCCTGCACAATATGCATGAAAAAATTCTTAAAGGACGTTTTCTTATAAAATCTCAATGCTCTTTCCATGCTTAACAAAATAACAATTCTTTGGTTGGTTGCTGTTATGTAATATCTGGTCCATAATGTAATTTTCCCAATTGTCTTAAAAATGTCTTTTAGTTAGTTTGAATCGTATTTAAACAAGATCTATATCCCTTATATTTGGTTGCTGTGTCTCTACACCTCTTTAAATTCTAGCAGTTCGCCTTCGCTTTTATTTCTTTAAATGTCATTTATCTTTCTGCAGAACTTAATTTATATATGCACGCATTCACGGCAACCCCCCAGAACCACACACATATACACACATTTAACAGGAACCAAACACCGTGAAATTTTCAGGTTCTGGAACCTGGGTTATTTAGAAATACTTTTAGTATTATAAAGGGACAGTATTTCTAAATTCATGTAAACCTCATGCTATCGTATAGGTCAATCACTGTCACATGATCAGACAGCAATTTAGCGAACCACAATTTTGGTCTCGGTAGTCGCAGCCTTTACAGGAGAAGCCAGAATTCCCTCCTTCCAGAAACCAAGAGTCCAGGTAACCCCTTCCAATGCTAAACAGGGAGGACCGTTTTCAAGTAAAAAAAAAAAACACACACACACACAAAACTAATCTAAATGGAAAACTTTCTTCTGAATGCAGAGATAAGGTAAATTCCCAGAGAATGTGGTGCTAAGGAGACATAATACTGAATTAAATGATCAGTGCAGATGAAGAGTTGGTGGGTGACTTCCAGGAGGAGGGTGAAGGGTCGGATAAACAGCGGTTGTCAGAGACCGGCCGAAACCTGCTCAACCTTTCCGCCCGAAGAAAGAACCCAAGACTCAGAGGTAAAGCCCCGGGGGCATGTGGAGTCAAGCGAGAGAAGAGAGCAAGTCTCAGGGAACAACTACGGGTGTGTGAAATGCAATACTGGAACCGGTTTTACCAGGGAGGGGAACTCGCTGGAACAAGACTGGCGGAGAACTCCGTCGGCAGCCGCTCTGCGCCCAGTGCACACGCCCAGCGCACGCCCCCAGCAGGTGAGTCACGTAATGTGACTCACCACCGGAGACTCAGCCGAGGAAAGTAGTCCCCGACCGCGCAGGTTCCAAAGGGAGGAGGGAGAAGAAGAGGGAGATCCTAGGCTCTCTGAGCGTGAGTCCCGGGAGAGGCAGACGCTCAGCCAATCCCTGGAAAGGAGAGCGTGGTTAGCTCGGACTGCAGATCCCTCCGCCCGCGTTTGCTGTGCAGAGGCCCAGGGAGCCGCCATTTTGGATGCTTAGCCTTGATTCCGGAGTCTGTTTCTGCTGCTTTTACGCCTGGATTTGGCCAGGTGAGTGTGGCATCCTCAGCGTCAAGGGTCTTTCCTACCATCTTCGCACTGCGGCTCAAATATAGCAGTCTCTAGCCCGGGGTTCAAACCATCCTGACATGGCAGGCGAAGAGAAAGGGAAGGATCCTAGTTGTGGGGAATCAGGCCGCAGGGGCTGAGGCGCTGGAGGCCACTGGAGGCCGCCGAAGGCCGGGGGCGTGACACGGTCGCAAGCAGTTTGGAGGTCACTGGTCCAAGTTACTGAAGCTGTCAAACTTTCCTGTTGTGTTCCCGGTCCCGAGGTGTCTCTTCTCTGGGGCGGAAACGCCTCGGCCACTGCCCCGGTTAGTGAAAGGGCTCGGGCTGCACTTTGGGCTCCGAAAATCGAAACCGCTACCCATTTAGTCTGGCCCAGAAAGACTTCGGGAAGGTTGTGTCTCCAGTGTCCGCAAGGGTCTTGTTCGCTTCTTAGTCCGGCGGCCTTCTGGACTGGTTCCTGGGCGGCCCGGAGGTGGGGCTCCTTGGGCTGAAGGAAACAGCGGCCTAAGCCCCTTTTCGCATAACCCTGCCTGTCTGATGAGAGACCATGTGAGGAGCTCATGGCCCTGTCCTTGCCCGTCTCTGTGTACTCAGCGTTCCTCTCCCGGGGTGCTGGAGATGAGGACCTCGAACTCCACCAGCATAAACTTTCCCAGGGTTGGGGGAAAGACGCAAGAGCGACTGTTTAATAGCTAAGAGGAAAGGCACAAGAGAGGCACTTTCACTCTCTTTCGTAGTAAAATTAAAATGAAGAGCTGGTCCTAACTTTTCATGAGGATTGTAATTTTCCTGTTTCGCTTATGCATTCATTATTTTTTAACTTTGTATTGTGAAAATTTTATTTTTAAAAATATTTTACTTTTTGAAAGGAGAAGGGGGGAGAGAAACAACAATGTGTGGTTGCCTCTCGCAGGCTGGCACTCAATTCACTGAGCCACACCAGCCAGGGCAGATGTTAGTATTACATTTTAAAGGCACCCCGTTTAAGTCCTCTCATTTTTAAAGTAGTGTTACTTTAACACAAACAGGTTTGTCCAAATTACTGGTTTTCATCTTCTTCTCTTTTCCTGTGTTTTTGGCTTCTAAATGATCAGAACTCCAGAATTCCTAACTTTAGTCTACTTAATTTAAGCTCTCATTCCTTTAAAGTCAGTCCCAGTTACATGCAGCCTATTCTGATTTAAAAATAAAACTAGGACACAGAGTGTAGTCTAATGAAATAACTTCTAGAACAGGGAAAGTAGCAAGCACGTGAATACTAATTTCAGCATTATTTACGGCAAATGTCAAAAGGTTGGGTAGTTAATTTAAAAATTATTACTCAGTGGAACATTAGGCAGCCATTAAGATAGTTTATAAAGATTGTAACAGTCTTTACACAATATTAAGTGGTAGAAGAATTCAGTGGTGCTCAGAGTCCATGGTTTCAACTTTGTAAAAACATGCCTTAAGAAAAACTCTTGGTAAAAACTATACTTAATTAATTTTCTGTAGTTTTTTAATCATAACTTAATTGAGAAACAAGTTAATACTTTCATAATGGCTATACATTTCAGATTTATAGTGCTTTCCATAAAATCTTGATGGTCTCTGAATTATGAAGCCTGTACTTTGCTTGCAAGTTACACATGATGCTACTGGTTTTGTGTGTGTGTGTTTTCACTTTAAACAATTTTCTATCTTGATTAGTGTGATTAATAAAGATTTGATTACAGTTCAGAGCACAGGTGCAAACACAAGGTCTGTGGGCTGAATCTGGCCCTCCATCTTGTTTTATCTGGCCCTGCACCTTGTTTCTACCAGATGGCAGTGTTGAGCTCCTTGTCCCTACTTAAGGCCAAGGAGCTCACATTTAGTTAGTTACATTTATACAGTCCTGAAATTACATTCAGCCCTTTGAAGGCAACCATGAGGCTGATGCGACCCCCCGGTGAAAATGAATTTGACACCCCTGCTTTACAGTGTGAAAATATAGTATATGCAGTGGTTTTAAGGATTAGTCTCTATTACCTTGGAAATGCCTTTTAGCTTGTTCCTACTTTCTTTTCTAAAAAAAAAGATTTTATTTATTTTTAGAGAGGAGAAGGGAGGGAGAAAAAGAGTGAGAGAAACATCAGTGAGAGAGAAACATCGCTCTCGCATGCGCCCTGACCATACAGGGTACATGTTCCTACTCTCATTGCCACTACTTCATAGCTGCAGTTTCAGTGGTTATACCTAAAACTGTTCATATCACTTACTTTATAAGAAAGAGGAGTTCAGCCGTGGCTGGTGTGGCTCAGTTGGAGCATCATCCTGGGGTGTCCAACCTTTTGGTGTCTCTGGGTCACACTGGAAGAAGAGGTCGCTTGGGCCACACATTAAATATATTGTGACAGATAGTCACAAAAAAAACTCAGTGTTTTAATTAAATTTATGATGTTGTGTTGGGCTACATTCATAGCCATCCTGAGCTGCATGCGGCCCAGAGGCCGCAGGTTAGGCATCCCTTTAGGTTTTGGGTTTGGTTCTGGGTCAGGGCACATGCCTGGCTTGTGGGTTCCATCCCCAGCCAGGGAGAGTGCAAGAAGGCAATCCATTGATGGTTCTCTCACATCCTTGTTTCTCTCCCTCTCTCCCTTACTTCCTCTCTCTCTAAAATCAATAAATATGTCCTCTGGGAGAGGATAAGAAAGGAAGGGAGGGAGGAAAGAAGGGAGGGAGGGAGGGAAAGAGATTTCATGATCAATGAAATAATACATTGCAAATACAAAAGTTTCCCTGTAAACTACCAAATACAATTCTAGCCACCGTTGATTCTGTTGCCCCCTTACCCACTTGGTAGTTTTGGAGGTATGGACTTTAAATCTGGTCCCTTAGGCCTTCAGGGTCTTTTTTGCTATTTTAACTACTTTAAATAGAGCTTCCACTAGTTGGGCAGCTTCAGTATTTGGGGCAGTAAGTTGTCAAATATGAGGAATGTGTTTTACACTTTCCCTTACTCAGAATGGAGAGATTAGCCAGTTTTAAAAGGCTCCTGGAACTAAGTGATTAAAAGAGGGCCTAGATGAGTTTGTTGTTCTAATGTTAAGGATTGGGGTAAAGGGAGGGATTGGAAAGAACCAAGAAGGGCACATGGGGCTGTTGACTAATATGAAACATAATGGCATTTCACTAATAAAAATAGTAAAGTATATAAACAAGATAGAATACTGAGAACTAGTTCTGCAGTCACTAGTTCATAATCCTTGTATAGCATTTATGTTAAAGTTGTGTATGTGTCTTATAGTTGTTTTTATGCTACTCCATTAGATTTTGAGCTCCTTGAAGTCTAAGGTCATTTAAATGCCTCCTGTGAGGTGACTTTGCACAGTATTTGGTAGATTAGCACTCAGTTGTCTGTGGAGTGAATGAATGATGGTAAAGATACCGAGGTACGGCCCTGGCTGGCGTAGCTCAGTGGTTTGAGCGCGGGCTGTGAACCAAAGTGTCGCAGGTTCGATTCCCAGCCAGGGTACATGCCTGGGTTGCAGGCCATAACCCCCAGCAACCGCACATTGATGTTTCTCTCTCTCTCTCTCTCTCTCTCTCTCTCTCTCTCTCTCTCTCTCTCTCTCTCTCCCCTCCCTTCCCTCTCTAAAAATAAATAAATAAAATCTTAAAAAAAAAAAAGATACTGAGGTACAAAGTGATCTTAGAATAACCCCTGAATCAAAAAGAAATTTTAAATTAACTAGGTAATTGGACAATATTATTATGTGAGATGTGTATATATTCATCTTTGCATATATTTGTGTGCTTGTTTTATGTATACAAGGTGGGGCAAAAGTAGGTTTACAATGGAGTATGCAAAACAGTTTATTCTTGTATTATTTATTATTGTATTATTTCCCATATCAACAACTGTAAACCTACTTTTGCCCTACCCTGTAGAGATGTTTGTTTATAAAGTAGTAACAGTTGACCATAATATTTTACTTACTTTTAGGTTATTCCTAAAATTAATATTCCTAATCATGTAAGCTATGAAGTTTATGTTAGCTTTGGAAACACAGATTCAAATCCTGAAATGGTTATTAAATTGATCTTTTGTATTAGTCTAACCTTGGAACTAAAGATTTAATTCATATATTGGTAATTATTTAGGATATGTCCTTAATTCTGTGGTTTAGTGTCATTTTCTTTAATTAGTTTTTTAGAATAGGAATCTATTTTCTGAACATTGAAAATTATCAACACTTAAGTTAACAAAAGACTTTGGCAAATTACTTTCCTTTTTCCTTTCTTTAAAACATACTAAGTTAGTGGAATTTTTAAAAAGTTATTTTTAATTAAATTTCCTGCTGATTAACAATGAGCAACAGCTTTGTACAAAGCACTATGGTAAGCAGTGTGGGAATGGCAATGAAACCTATACTGATTGTATACAGGAGCTATATGGATTGTGTACAGTTGAAATTCTTAAGTATGGTTGAAACAGGTTAATAATCAAAAAGTTAAAGTAGGGGGAAGGATGCAAAGCATACCTTAAACATTTTATTTTAACCTAAAGCACATAATAGTACATCTACATTAGCTTATCTTCAGATGATGAGCAAGACTTTTTGAATATGGGTCTGTTGACTGAATTTATTTTTTGGAATTCAAAAAAATTTTATTGATTATGCTGTTACAGTTCTAATTTTTCCCCCTTTGCCCACTCCTACCCCGCACCCCCCACTCCCTGAGGCAATCCTCACACCCTTTTTCATGTTCATGGGTCATGCATATAAGTTCTTTGGCTACTCCATTTCCTATATTGTACTTTACATCCTATGGCTATTCTGTAACTACCTATTTGATTTCTTTTTTTTAGATTTTATTTATTTTTTAGAGAGAGGGGAAGGAAAGGAGAAAGAGAGGGAGAAAAACATTCCTGTGTGGTTGCCTCTCACACACCCCCTACTGGGTACCTGGCTTGCAACCCAAACATGTGCCCTGAGTGGGAATGGAACCAGCAACCC